ACTTCGCATGTTCGTAATTTTGGCGAAGGGACAAGCTCAACAGTTAGAGAATGCGATAATGAGGAAGAAAGTGATCATGATTTCATTCGCGGTGAAGACGATTTCACAGATGGTACCTCGGAAACGGAATCAGATAGATCAATAAACGAGGAGAGTGAACCAGAATTTATTGAAGAACACCCATTTCCTAGTACCGGTAAGCACGTGTATCGCGAGATGGGTGAGTGGGACCTGGCGTGTGTAGACCGGGATGAGTATGCCGTGCCAACCTGGAATGGGAATGTCGAGACTATCCGTTTAGGTACTGTTTTCCGGTCCAAGGGAGAAGCACAGACGGGTATCATGAGGTGGAACGTTAGCAGGTTGAGGGAGGTTAAGACAACCTATTCGAATAAGAAATCATTCAAGGTGGTGTGCAAGTCCAACGAAGATGAACCTTGTCCGTGGAGCGCTCGGGTGACGCACTGCACACGAGTTCATGAACTATGGGAAGTAACAGAATGGACTGAGAGGCACAGTTGTCTGCAAGAAGTCGAAAAAAATGACCACAGAAATGTAACCGCCACAATGATCTCAAATCTTGTCATGACCAAGATTCAAAAGAAGCCCGACTACAGTGTTACCCTGATCCAGGAGGATGTTAAAAAATGTTGGAAAGTCGATGTGAGCTACAAGAAGGCATGGCACGGGAGGAAAAAGGCCATCGATAGTTTGTATGGCACTTGGGAATCGAACTTCGCCGAACTCCCTCAGTAAGAAAAAATTTATTAATAATGTACGTGTTATATGTCACTATATTTATGTATTGACGATTACATTTTGTAACGTGCAGGTTTTTTGCGGCGCTTGAAAGAGCGAATCCCACTACGGTTGTAGAGTGGGAATGGCAAGGTGGGGAAATGGCGGCCTACTATCAGCACAGAGAATTCAAATTTGTTTTTTGGGCATTTGGTCCCGCCATTTAGACCTTCCGGAGATGCCCGCCGGTAATTAGCATGGACGGCACACATTTGCGTCGCTCGTACAAGGGGAAGTTGCTCGTGGCCGTTGCACAGACTGCGAATAAGCGGCTATTGCCAATCGCCTATGCGATTGTCGATGAAGAGAGCCAGGAAAGCTGGTCATTTTTTCTGACAAATCTCCGGCAACATGTTGTCGGCGACAGACAGATATGCTTTCTTTCGGACAGGGATGCGGGCTTACAAAGTGCCGTGGATTCATTGGAAGCTTGGCAAGAACCCGCTGCATATCACCGGATTTGTCTTCGACACCTTCGGAGCAACGTGGTTACTAGGTACAGGAATAACAAAATCCGAAATTGGTGTTGGGAGTTGGGTTCACAGGTTTCAGAGAAAAAATTTGAACAGATACGGTCGCGGCTTTGGGATTGTAATCCGGACGCATACAATTACTTGTTCAAAGTTCCTCTGGACAAGTGGACCCTGTTTGGAGACGGTGGACGTAGATGGGGTACTTTGACAATTAACATGTCCGAGAGTTACAACAACGTCCTGAAAGGTGTTAGGTTCTTGCCCTGCCGAGCTTTGGTACACGCCACATTCATGAAAACTCTGGACTTGTTTGAGCAGGAACAGAAGAAGGCCACGAGATGCAGTAATGCCATTGCTAGTGTCCACTATGCCGCTTATTGCGAATTGGAGAGTACGGCCGCAACTCATACGGTGCGATGTTCGAACGCGGAGAGATCCCTGTACAAGGTGACAACCGGTCTACGGGCTGATGGTAGAGG